GACTGTGGTTTGGGTTGTGGAGGAAGGGCTCTGCGGTCTGTGTCCCTGCAGCAGCCCCAGCTGGGAAGCTGCAGGGATATGGACCTCAGAGCCCTTCCTTTGCAACAGCCCCGGCTGGGCCACCCAGTACTGCAGCTGCTAGCTGAAGCTGTCAAGAGGATATGGGGGGAGAGAAGGGAGTCTCTCCTTCATGGACCCAGCTCATCCCCTCCCCAACCAGATCCCAGCCATAGGGACCTTGCAGGGGGCGGGGGGAGGGGAGGGACTCCACTCCCCCCCGCCACTACCTCCTCAGCTGCTACTGATAGTTGTTGGCTGGCGGGGGGAAGGGGCTCGGGCTGGGGGTAGGGGCTGCTTTGACAGCCTCCTGGGAGGTGTGCAGGAGTGGCCCCACCAGCCAGTGCAGAAAGGCTGTGAACCCCCTCACCCCCACAACAAACAGCAAATGTCTGCTTGGATGGCTCCTGCTGTAACTTATAGCACTTAGAGTAAAGCATGGTAAGTTTGAGTTCTTCTGCCAGGGGCCTTTTGAATGTTTGTACTCAGCCTCTGTGACAGGGCAAATAGATAAGTCACCCTGCCATATACATGCCTCTTCTATTGGCTTTGCAAGGCAATCAGGAGTAAATTGAGTGTGATTTATTTATAATGTTGATATAGGCCAGGGGTGTCCAAACTTTTTGAATGTGGGGCCGGATCATGAACTTTTTATCACCCAGTGGGCCAGCAGGAGTGGGTGCTCATGCAGCCTGTCCAGTCTGGCTATGGCATGGGGGCGCAGGGGTCAAGGGGTGCAGCCTGACCCTGCCATGTCCTCCCTGCCACCTGGGCAGCCTCAAGGATGCTCCCACACCTGCGCGCCTAGGCTCAGCAGCCAGGGGGACATGTGGGGACCCTACAGAGGGGTGTGGGATGTTCAGGGACACCCCTGTTCCCTCTCCCCCAGGGCAGCCTGAGCCCGAGCCTGACTGGCAGGCCTCTCCGGGGCCCACAACTCACCACCCTCAGTGTGATGTCTGCAGGCACGGGGGGATGTGGGGAGGCAGGAGTGGTGCCAGCTTCCCGCCCCGACAGCCACAGCTACAGCAGCAGTGGCAGCAGCATCTCCTACGGGCCCGGCCACAGCATCCCTCCGAGCCGGCATCCGCGCTCCCTGCACCCACCCACCTGCTGCACCACGACCTGCTCCAGTCCGTGTGGCCAGCGGGGACTGGTACAGGGCAGGGCTGGCATGCAAATGAGGAAGGGAGGGGTGGGGCTAGGAAGGGACAGCATGAAATGAGGGGGGAGGGGAGGAGCCGCACTGCATTGGCAACATCAAGCTGACGCGGTGTATGTGGGAACCTTGTCCCTTCCCCAGCCCTTCAGCAGCCATTAGGAAGCTGCTGAGGGGCTGGGGGAGGGACAAGGGGTGGGAACGAAAGTAAACAGTGGTTACTTTCATTTCCCGTTGCAGCACCTCGGGTCTCAGAAAATGGCTTGGCGGGCCGCATGGCGGCCTGTGGGCCATATGTTGGACAAGCCTGATATAGCCTTTGGAATATTTAAGCCAAACTGATGCTCATTAATTCCAGCAATAATTGGTGAGTTTGCATATACAATAAAAGCCGCGTTATCCGGCACCTTACAAACCAGCATGCTCTACTAACCGGCCTGTCAGTAGACATGGCAAAAGCGAAACTGGACCACCATGGCACTTCTGGTTTTGCCAAGCCCCCATGGCCCAGGGCAAAGCAGCCTGTGCTTCTGAGCCCCCACAGCCCGGGACATAGCAGCCTTTCCCCAGTGTGCCTGGGGCCCCCCTCCCTGTTCCCCAGCACACTGATGTGGCGGGAGGCACGGTGGCACACCAGACATGGCAAGAGGGGCAGGGGCCTGAACAGGCAAAGACACCTGTTTGGACCTCTCAGATAACTGGCATATTTGGTTATCCGGCACCCCCCCATCCCCCATGGGTGCTGGATAACAAAGCTTTTCCTGGATGCAAATGTAATCTGAATGCTTTCTGAATTACTGGTGCTTGCAATACTCTAAGTAGGATGGCATGAGCAATACACATCTGAAATATGTTGCAGATAAGGGTGTATTTTGTCTAGTAAAAGAATATTGCAGACTAATACAAGAGATTCCATGCATGCATTTAAACACCCAAACAGAGAGCTGTCTGAAACTGACAAAGTAAAATGATCGCTTAGAAGAATTATATTGCATTACAAAATGAAAAGTTTTTGATATTTTTAAGAATATACTTGCATTAGTTAATAATCCTTTGGTCATGGGAGAGCATGGACTTCAGGATTTCAGACCATTAGGAACAAAGCTAAAAAGTAGGCTCAGTTTTTGGATGCCATTAGTAACTTGGTTTAAGATGTTGGCATGTGCCATGAGTCCAGCTGAAGTTATCAATTCCTGCAAATACTGAGCAACCTCTACAGGTTATAGAGCCAAGATTTTCAAAAGTGACTGGTAATTGTATGCATCTTTGCTGAGGTACAGTTAAAACTGGCTTGATCTGTATGCAGTGCTGAGTAACCACCTTCTGAAAATCTGTTCTCTTTAAGCTGCATCACATTGGGTGCTGACAGATGTGCAGGTCCCTGCTCTAACTCATGATGCTTCACATAAAGCACTATGAGTAGAGCGACCCTCCCCTGCAACCCAACAGAAATTCTCCTGTTCATTTGAGGTTGGGGGAGGATTGAGCTCCCATGTGGAGCCAGTCGAGTAGAAGACCCTGGCTGCAGCCTCTCTCCCCTAGCCCTATCCTCTCCCCCGCTCCCAGCTCCAGTGCCATCTGCAGGAAGGGAGTGGGGAGAAGGGAAGGGGAGTGTGCTGCTGGCTGAGGTTTGTTGGGGTAGGGGGCTCATGAAGCAGGGGGGCTCCAATTCATCCCCCACCCCTCCAGCTCAGACCGGGCAAACCCCAGCCCACAGTTCACTCTCCATCCCTTCTTCCCCCTCCCTTCCTATAGATAGTACCAGGGGTGGGGCTGGGCTGCATTAGCCCAGCTGGATCTCAGCACAAATTAATCGTAGGGAAGAGAAATTCCCTAAGGTGCTCCAAAGTGGAGCATCTTCATCTGATCCCTCATGTGGTGAGGGTTAATTTGTCACATGATTGGCCACTTTTAAAGGACTTTGCATCTGTGCACATGTCACGGCATGGCTGTAGAGAGTGTTCAGGGGGCCAATTATGCAACAAATGTCACTTCTGTCAGTGCCCATCGGGTCCTCCACAACAGTACTCACTTTGAAATATCTCAACCATTGTGTTTTAGGCCCAGTACTCAAGAAGGAGGCATCCAAGATTAGAGGCAATTTGGGGATTAAAGGACCTTAGTGCTGATTCTTCAACTTCTGTAACTGACAAGATGAAAAGATACCTCTTTCTCTTCCTCTTTCCTGCCATAGGTCTTGCTATAGTTGATTGGCGTATCCCAGCCTTCCTGTTCACAGAGCACCTGGTAGAAGGCTGCATTTACCAGAATGCTGCTTGTTTTGAAGGGAGAAGAGGAAGGAGTGGGAAGCGCTGTGTTGGAAGAAGTTAGAGGCATTGTCTTCTCCTGGTTTCGGTTCTTTTTCATGCTTAAATCCAGAGTGCCATTTTCGTCCACTTCTATCTCGGCTCCCTGATATGCAACAGGAAACAGAAACATGTTTAGGCAATGCACAGTTTGCTGCTGCAAAATAGCCATGTGGTGCTTTTAAGGGATAAATTTAAATGCATGCTTTTATTTAAATGCATCTGAATCTAAAACCAGCTTTCTGAATTACATCGGTTAATGTTTAATTCTTAGGCAGACTTAAGTGTAACCTCAATAGTATTCTCTATGGTTCTGAGCTTAAACCTAGTAAGTAGAATTTAAGTATGATGCTTCTAAAATATAAACTGTACAGACCAAATTGGAATTTATTTAAATTTTTAAAACAAGTTTTAAATCTTCTTGATCTTGTTACCCTTACAGAGAACTCTGACCCTAATTCACAGCTAAAAGCATTAATGTACCACTTAGGTCATCTGCAGAATTATTATTACATTGCTCCCCTTCCCTCCAGGATCTGGAAATATTACAACATCTGTATCATGGGGGCAAAGTGGCTGAGGGAAGAAATATGCTAAACCAGATGCAGTAAGAAAATTTTTCACTGGGGCTTCATACATCAATGGAAATATCATATTGTCTTAATCAGAGGTTGACTTAGAAAGCACCTTTGAAAAGATTTATTACAAAATTAGGGCCAAATTATGCCATTAAGGCACAGATCTACATTGAGAGCAGCATGATGGGAGCCATGGGGAGAGGTCCTGGAGGCATTGTAAGCAATTCCTCATGGAAAGCTCTAACATGGCTTGTGTAAGCATCTGCTGCCCCATCCCATAGGGAGGTACTCTATGAATTCACTTCTGCAAAGAACGAGCTCTGCTGGCTGGTGTATGTGGGAGTTGTGGAAAGCCTGTTCCTTGACCCCTGTTTTTGGTTAAAAAGAACACCTACACAGGAAGGCACAGGGGCTGCCACTGTATCTTTCAATTGCTCAGTTCTTCTACCATCGTATGATCATAAAAAGGGGATATAAGGTACAATTCTCAGTAGAGCTATCATCTTCCATGCTTTCACATACTACTGGGTTTGGAGGAGGGCTCATTTGGGTTGTGCCAGTATATGAATTCACAAGATAGCTCTTCCTCCTGCTTCCCCACAGCCCCACAGCATTTTGCTTGTCTAAATCCTCTCTTAGGAAATTAGAAACTGTTTGCCCTTCATTTTTGGGGGATTCTCCACTTCCTCTGACGATCCCTAGTTCTTCTGCAAGTGGAGCCAAGGCATAACTCTCACAACAGGGAGCAAAGTTGTACATGTGTGGATGGGGCAAATTAGGGGACTCATCTCTGCCTAATACACAGTTACTAGAGTCAAATGGAGCCAAACCATGAAAGAAGATTGTGCCTACAGGATGCAAGTGTCATGTGGGGTCTCTGGAAGACCAGAGACCTTTGTGGTCTAGCTGCAAAAATTACCCACCCCTAAAAGGCCAACACTTGGCTTGGTATTGTCGGGTTATGTGTAGGGATGGACCGAAATAATTATTTTGTACTTTTTGGGGAAAATGTAAAATCAGGCATTTCCCATGAAAATCAGAGAAATCCATGAAAAAAAGGAGCCCCCCCCCCCCCCCAAAGCAGGGGAAAGTGGGGCTCTGTGTAAAAATAAAAGGTTTTTCTTTCCCCCCCACCTGGGAAGCAGCCAAGATGGCTGGGTGATTGGGTGAAAGGGCTGCCCTCATGCAGCCTCTCAGCCCTGCAGCCTGGGCAGACAGGCCCAGCCCTGCTCTTTTTTTCTCTGCAGCCACAGCCCCAGCTGGGCCCATCCATGGTAAGTGGGTGTTGTGAAGGATGGGGCTGGGGAGAAGCAGGGATGGGCCAGAGGGGCAGTGGGGTGGCAGCAGCCCATTCCTGCACCGGGGGGGGGGGGGGTGGTCGAGGGAAGCAAGGATGGGCTGGGAGGAGAACAGCCGAGTCTGGCCATGGGGCAGTGGGGTGGTGGCAACCCATCCCTGCACCCGTGTGGGACTGGGGAGGGGTCAGGGGAAACAAGGCTGGGCCAGGAAGAGCACAGCTGAGTCTGGCCATGGGGCAGTAGGGTGGTGGCAGCCCATCCACAAGCCTACACAGCCAAGGAGGGACTGGGAAGGAGGGGTAGTATTTTTCTCTCCGTGCAGGCCAGGACTGGGTGGGGAATGGGATCAGGCCGGGCCAGGGGGCAGTGGCATGGAGGCAGCTCACGTGTCTGCTGGCTGCCCCAGATAGTCAGAGGTGTGGCAGGAGCGGCCACAATCTGCCTGTGAAATTGGAGCCTGGGGTCATGGCAAGCCTGTGAAATTTGGCCCCAGGCTCCACGATCCCTAGTAATATGATAATTATCAGAGTAACAGTGATTTTTCAGGCAGTCAGTGTGTCAAAGTTTTAAATTATATGTTCCCATTTTTACTGGCATTATTATTATTTGTACCACGGTAGTGCCCAGAGACACCAGTCAGGAATTGCATCATAGTCATCCTGTGTCACTATGGAGGCAGTCACTCAGAGAGCTTACAATTTGATATAATAGAATATGGATTTTGCCTCAGCATTGATAGCACAAATATTGAATTGAATAAGTTTATGAAAGGCATGGTATGGCAGGACAGGGAGTTTTGGCATACCAGACAGATTGTTTTGAATCCCAGCTCTCATAAGCACTGAGAGACCATCCAACAATTTAGAGTTAGCATCCTTCTTCAGGTATTTAGTCTTTATTCCTACACAGGAAAGCAGCTTCCTCAAGCTGTACTGTTGGCAGGCTGCAACGGCAGGTGGTAGTCAGTGATTTGGGCATACGTTTTCAGAAGTAACTATTGATTTTGGATGGCTCAATATTTTGGATGCCTGAGTTGTGGGACCTTAAGTATGTCTGATTTTCAGAAAATGCTGAGGACCCAGCCCCCTGGAAATTAGGTCTCTTCAGCAATGTTTCAAGCTGGGTAGTCAACCCTGAAGCATAGCACTGCTGGAAATGTAGAGTGAAATCATTATTCATCACTCCATTTACTAGGCACAGGCGTAAGAAAGACCCTAGCTTGGTTCCAAGGACTACCAGACCAGCTGCTTGCACACAATTTAGAAATTCAAAGGCACCTCTTCTATTTGTTTCTCTTGCATGACAAAGTTCACAATTTCAATCACTCAGCTTAAAAAGAGAGATGCTTTATAATATTTATGGGAAGTAAATACACTTCTAATATGTTCATACTAAGACGCTTTGGTTCTATCTTTCTGCCCCTTTTTAGTAAATAGTTTAATCTCCTGTGATAGTTTTAAGCCCTGAATTTGACAGGACAGCTTATCCTGGATAATAACTTAGTAACCACAACATCTTATGCCATCTGTATAATATCAAATACATTTTTATACCAGCATTAATAAACCTTAGTTACAAAAATCCAAGATATTAACTATATCGGTGCCAAGTGCACTCTCCAGGATCTGACAATATAGCTGTACCATGATTGCTCCAGTGTTTTTTGGCTTCACAGTTGATATGTAACTGTAGCAATGAAACAGACCTACAGTAATCAAGTTTAATGACCAATGTAAAGTAAAATGCTAAATATTGTAGTTGCTGACATTTTTCATAATAAAAAAACTTGGGTTAAGTCTGCACAACCAACATTCACATAAAATTCCAGACCTCTGTGACAGATGGCTTAGGAAAGGAAGCCATGTGATTGGGCTGCAGTAGTTTTATAGTGCAAAACCCATAAATAGTGCAGATTCTCTGACACTGACAAAATATCAACTACTCTGAAGGCATCAACAACAACAAAAATTGAGCAAAAAAATGGAGTAAAAACAAGCAAAATCCCCTCCCAAATCAACTTGCAGATGGAAAATTGTTGGAAACATATATCATCTTTGAGAATGGAGCTATACCAAGGAAGCCCCATTGATGGACAGATTATTTACTAATGTGGGTATCAAGTGATTCTACTGTTTTCCCAAAATTCACATAGAAGTTGGGTTCGGTAACGTGCACCTAATATTGACAAGGAAAGGCATAGGTTGTGCATTTGTGAAGCAGTGTACAGATGGGGTTTAAGTGAGCTCACAGATGCACACAACAATCAAATATAGTCATGGAAAAATAGCCCCCTTTGTCCATTGTAGGATCACACGTTTACAGCATGGCTTTTTTTATTTAGAACAGTATAAAATAGCTATCACTTTGCTGTATCCTCGGCAAACTCCAAATGGCAGGGCAAAAAAAGGATAATCAGAGAGACTGTTCCAATATTCTTTCCTATTCTCCTACTGCCTTCCTCTCCAAATCTCTCTTTCCTTTATTTTCCTGATATTTATTTTCACATTAATTTTAAACAGGAACTAAGAAGATTAAAATGTCCAAAGGTCTTGTTAGAATTCAGCTATGAAATTAGCAGAAAAAATATACTTAGTTCACACTGGCAAAAGCCATGTTTACTTTTAGTGAAGACCCGGTCTTGTTCCTGTTCAAATTAACAAACAGCTGGAGCAGGCCTCTGCCTCTTTGTATACCAAGACATGCTTTAAATATGTCTACCAAAATGATTTAGCATACAGGGCTCTCCTAACAACTGAAGTATATACATTACACCATTTCTGGCCACATAGGGCTCAAATGTCTGATTCTTTCCTAATTTACACTAGTTTTGAGTTGACACAACTTTGTGGGGCCTGATGCTAATTTCATTTACATTTGTCTGAGTTGGGAGAAAATTAATTGAAGACAACAGAGCAAAATCAGTGCAAGCGAGAGGAGAAACATGTTAATTGAATTCAAGTTACTTCTGATTTACTCTGATGCTAGTGACAGTATAATCACCCCCATAGGTCTTAAAAGCATCTGGAAACAGGAGTTTAGAATGAAAAATGAGAGAAAAATGGCTACAACATAATTCCTCGTTCTTCAGGTTCTGTGTAGTGAAACAGATAGAGCAAAACTACTCTATTACGGATAAGACAATTTGTACACAAAAAAACATAGATCTCTAGCTACTGCACAGAACAATATACTTAACTGAGGTTTCTAGTTATAAGAAATCCTGTATTTTATAAAATATATTCCAAAAATTTTCTTAGCATACTATGAAGTACTTCAATAAACAGTTAAAACTGAACTGTCTATCACAGAAATGGACACAGCGTGGCACATTTTTATGGTGCGTTATCACAATCCCTTTTACTGTGTTTGTTGGCTTACTTGGTAACTTACTACATTTCATATTCTGCAGCATCCCTTGAGTAATAAGTACAAGTAAAGCCTTTATTCTATAGCTGGATCACTGAGGGTAAATCATTATGCCTAAATGAATCTGACTTAAGAACTAAGGCCTTAAGGGGGATGCTACTATAATAGTTAAGTTTGATTGGCAGCCATCATGATACATGATACTAATGTTTGGAAAAAGAAAAATCATGGTTTTTTCCCCCTACATTGTGATAATCCCACTTGAGAAAAATTTGGTCTAGATCTAAGGAGCATTACTAATTCTAGATATACTTTCCAGTTTTACCAAAAAAATAATCCTTAGGAACAGCAATATCTATAAAATCAAAATTTCTTTAAGCACGTGGGCCCTATTCTGCAAATACTTACATGCTATGAGCTTCCTTGGTGAGTTCCCCTACCAAAGAAAACTGAAAGGTTGAAGAGAAAAATGTTTTTAAAAGAATGTCTTTAAAAAGACGTATGTTCAGAAGTATTTACAAGATAAGGGTGTTGTACTAGGTTTGACACTTTTGAGACACAAATAAAGACATATTTTCAAAACTATTTAGGTATGGTGAGTGCCTAAATTCTTTAAATACTTTTTTGAATCTGGTCTAGAGAAGCTTGTCAACCAAAAATGAAAAATAGGGACATGCTGATGATTTCAACACGCATAGAAAGTGTAACAGAGCAATAACTGGAGATACTCAGTTTGTTTGTTTCTTTCAGAAGTCATTGTAGTCACTGGTCTTCTTTTGGAAGATTTTTTGTGCATTACTAATTGAAGATGTTTGGGGTAGGGCCTTGTTTGGTGACCAGGCTGAATTTCAACTGCAGTGTACTTGGAACTGATGCAGTCATCATCATCGTTATCATCATCAACATCCAAGAAGAGAGAGATGACATAATTTGTGTTTTCAGGTTTTGTTCAAAAACAGAATTTGAACTTCAAACATTTCAAGCAAGTGTCATTTTTTGTTTTCTTTCAAGGCACAGTGCGCATATGCCATTTTGTCTAAACAGGTGGGAAAAACACCAAAACATTAAACAGAATGCTTGGCAAGCCGCAGCTCTGAGGATAAAGATAGACTGTACTGCTTGCTTCTACCTCTGCAAGTAGTGATGGTGATGACGGCTGTGAAACAAAAAAATCTCTGATGGGTTCTGGTACATGCACTTATGCTACGCTAGGCACAATGGGCTGATCCAGCTTCTCCGGGAGTCCATCCACTGATTTCAGTGGGAGGTGGTTTGGGCCCTATAGACAGACAATTAGGCTGAGAGGCTGTGATTCAGTGCTTGACACTCTTGGTTGAGTTGAGAATGGTGTCTGAATCAATTACACAATTACTACATTTCAGGGGCCCAGTTAAACAGAATTCCTGGCATCTGAAAAGATCTACAAGCTTACTTCCACCTCGGAGCACATAGCAGTAACACTACTTATTTTAAAAAAATAATGCTGTAAAGGTTTCAATAGCAGCCATGACATTTTGTATGCAATTGGCTGCAAATTAACTGAGGGAGCTTGGGATCCAATTTAATTTGGACTAAATGTAATCCAAGTCCATTACAAGATAATTTTTTTATAGTTATATATGGTAGATCAACACTGGGCATCCACTGTCACTGTGCCATTTTTTTCTGGCCAACAGCAGTGCTAAATATATAACGTGATTTTCTTCCCACCTCTATTCAGCTTAGTCTGGCTTCCTTCCTTTCATTCTGAGACTTAGAAACCTGGGAAGATTATCTAGGATAGTTGCAAATATACCAAACTCGTGGAAAAATAAAATCTTGCTTTATCTTTGCCAACAAATGTACTTTTTTCACTTATATGTTATGTGTTTTTAGAGGGAAAAGAAGATCCATTTTCAAAGTCATGGGTCAAATGGTTACTAAGAAACATACAACATTTTTGAAATAAAGATGCAAAATTTGCAGACAAAATATTTCACAGAGCCACATCAGAAAATACTTTTGTAAAAGAAAAAAAAATCTAAGTATTTTTACAGATTTGACAGTTCCAGCTCTGCTTCCAGAGGGAACCCTGCTGCTGCCTCTACCAACCTATGGATGCAGCTGAAGCAGTATGAGTCTATCCATTCCTCATTCCACCTCTTCCTTCTCATTGGCAAGGCATTCTGCTGCGCAATGGTGGGAGGACAGCTGAAGCCCACATAGGGGGTCAACACCCTTGCAAGTTACAGAGCTTTGATCTGCTGTGGTGACATCTGCACTGCTTAATTTTCCTTTGACAAAGGGATGGGATGTGAGGGAAAGGCTGAGAGACCTGCTACTACATAGCTCCAAGTTAGGCCACTCCATGTAAGTGTTTATGGGCATGATGCCTATTCATGTTGTTGAGAATAGAAGAAATGAAGTTATTAACAGTGCAGTCAAATTAATCTGTTTCTGTTTGTCTACAAATGCAGCATACAGCCAATAAAATATTCAGGACCTTTTTGATCATTTAAAAATATATATGTGATGTTCATGTGATTTAATGTTCACTTAGCAAATATCAGCCACAAAAATTCAAATAAATAAAGCAACAAACAAATATATTCTTGCTTTGCTGCATTTTAAAAAAGAATACTTCTCTAGGATAGCCTCCAAGTGATTCTGTTTACTACAGATTCCTGTAAGACCCCATTTGCTTAAAGTAATAACTAGCCAAAGCCAAATAAAAAAGGGTTTTGTTTGATTTTGGCCATGAAGCCTGTTTGGGGCTTACTGGCCTCTGCTCTAGCCAGAAGCTAATTCTGTTTCTTCTGTCAGATGTTCTGTAGCACTGGGCTGTCACTGTGCCTCCTGAAAGTTTGGCAAAAGTAGATACAGGCAGATGACAAGGTATGCAGGTGATATTCTTTTAGGCTGTATTCCTGACTGTGAGAAAGGAATAATCTATGAGCCCCAAGTGTGTCTGAGTTCATTACTATTATGTTCATCTCCACTTAAACCTTCCATGATTTGGCAAACATGAAGCAGGTACAGAGTAGAAATCTTTGGGTTATGCCTAGTCCCTTTATTGCTCTTCTCTGGCAAGAAAGGTCTGTTGCTGAGGTCAGCCAAAGGCTGCAGCAGCAAGTTATCCAACCACTGGCATCAATCTCCCTCTTAATGATAAAAGAAGCCTCTATTCAAGTCTGATGTAAGAAGCTCTATGTCGTTGATGTCAGGAATAGAGCTGTCAACTAGGAAAGAACACACTAAAACCTTTTGCACTCTGATAACATCCTTCTCTGTGCTGAGTGATGCATAGGTGAACGTGGTCCAGCATTGGAATGTCTGGTTAGCAGTCTCCCAACATCAGTTTGAAGAACCTGGCCATCACAGATGGAAATCAGACTCAGAAAAGTAGGAGAACCCACTTTGCAGAAGCACAAGGCTTGGAATATCTAATGAGGTGTTACACAGCTGCTGAAAGATGGGATTTCCTACAAAGAATAACAATTAGCCTCTGTGGCTATGGCACATAGGAAATCCATTGAACTTTGTAGTTCAACAGCTGTGGAAACTATTTCCAACCAGACTGAGCCTCACGCTTCCAGAGTATAGCAGGGGATGTATTAGAATATTATTGAAAGTCAGACAAACCAATCAATCTATCTATCCCCTGGCCCACCAACCTATTACTCCTTTTAATATTTTGTAACTGGGACTCAGAGTTTGTACAAAATCTACTGAAATTAGAGCATGGTCCAGACATTTCTGGGTGCTACTGCAATACAAGTAATAAAAAACACAACAGTACTTCTACTACTACTACCACCACCAATGGGTCACATTAATGTATCTTCCTATTTGCATGCATGAGTAACGTAGTACTATGTAATGTTGCAGATAATAAGACTACTAACTCATAACCACAACAAATAGCAAGGAATATTGCATTAAAACATGATTCAAATGATACCTACATAAGGAACTACTCTTAGTAAGCAGTTTTGCATCTTAAGAGATTTACCCAAATTGTCTACCAAACAAAATGGGCCTGGTTCTCCTCTTGCTTACACAGTGGAACTAATTCCATTGAAATCAATGGAGCCTACTCCACTTTATACCAGATCAGACTCAGGCCCAACAAATACAGTCTACCATTATTAAAAACCTTACCTCTGTTAATCAAATGATTTTTTATCAATATTTTGAGTGATTGTGTGTAACAGGCTGCAAAGTAACCCCCCGCTCCCCCCCATATTTTAATAGATCTAGGTCCATTACCCACCAAATACTGCTACCGGGTTTCAATTTTCCTCCCCCACTTGTCTTTCCCTTTATATGAGACCCATTAACAAGACAGTCACAAGGTAATTCTTGAAATTCCACCCTCCACACACCCAAAACAGTCAGTACAGTACCAATTTTTCTCTGCCTCTCTTCAAAAGAGCATGCAAACAGAGGCCTCCTTTTTTGGGATTTAATGCAGCTACTAACATGAAAGACAGTTTATTCACACAGTTTGGTAGCTTGCATACCCTCCAGGTTCTTGGACTACCCTACCTTGGCAGACAGACTCTGTGGTTTGTTGGAGAGGATCTCTGCTGCTTCCCTGCAGCGGGTGGAAAGGTTCAGGATAGCAGCAGCTGCTGCTATGTGGGTGTCTTCACTACATTGACCGTAGCTATAAGAGTTGGCATGGCAAGGGCTCTGTGTGTGGGCGCTAGCACTAGGCAGTCGATTAGAAAATTTCACTGGATTTGAAAAATGCTTTGCTGTTGAAGAGAGATTTGATTAGCAATTGCATGTATGTGATTTTTTCTAGTAGATAGATTTGTTTTTCAGATCATAATTTTGCATATTAAAACATGTAAAGAGTAACTTAAAAACAGTCTACTGGTTACTGAGGATTGCTGTAAAAGTGGTTTCAGAAATTGAACTTTTTGATTTTTAGAAGGAAAATGCCTTTTTTTACAGTTTTCCAATAAAAATATCCAAGGAATAAACCCTGAGCCATTTGCTGAGGTTTCACTTACTTCTTATTCAGCCAATGGCAATGCTGCTTGAGTAAGGACATAACAAAAATGAGAAGACATTGAGATTTGACCCCATGACCACTGTGGGGCAGAAGTGCTTGCAATCTTCATGAATGACTTCATAAGGGATTCTTTAGAGCACTATTGTATAAAAATAAGATTGATTTGTACAGTCAACATTTGTGTAGAAACAACATTTACACCAAAACCTGCCAACCTTACTGAATGGGTAGTCTTATTATACCCAAATATTACCTGTCTGAGTAAGGTGTGCAAGGCCTGGCTCTTGGGGAAGCTGGGGCTGTTCAATAAAAATATATCTTGGGAACATTTACTATTATATTTCATGAAAAATACCAACATTTAGGTGTGAGAATCTTTTATTGGACCAACTGCGTGGCTGGGATATGCTTAGATAAGCTTTTGAATGCAGGGCATTCTTTTTCAGAGTGACCTGAAGAAGAATGCATTTCATTTGAAAACTTGTCTGGTCTATCTTGACAATGCAGTTGGTTCAATAAAATATGTCACTCACAAAAATCTTTGCCTCTTGAGTATGTCCTGATCCATATAGCTGTAATATTATTAGACCATTATAACACTAATATTCAGGTTTAGACTTAAAACATAAAAAACCCAACCAAAAACATTTTGAGTTAGGATGATCTTAACTCACCTTGTTGTGTTTAATACAGTTGAGACTTCCTGGAATATTACATACATAATAGACATGATGATGTCAGTCAGGAATGAAGAACTACCTTAAAGGTGAACAGAAAAGCTTTTACCTGTCAAACATGGTTCTGTGTTTCTTCTCCATCACTATGATCTACTCTAAAGCAGAGTAGAGAGGAGCCTTCTTTGCCCTATGTTAGGAGTTTGAGATGTCATCAACTGTGGCAGTGGAAACACAGAACCATGAACTCAGAACTTGATACATAATAATGATTTCTTTCATCTGTAGAGCTCTCAAAATGATTTATGAAGGCAGGTTAGAAGGGAAACAATTTTCAACCCTATTTCAAACAAATTAATAAATACTTAGAACTCAAGCAAGAAATAGAAGAACTGAATAAAATCAAAACTGTTTTTATATAGCATGAACACACTGCAGAAACTTGTGTCATGTAGAGAAGGGACTGGGGTCTCAAAAGCAGGGCTTTCTTTGCATCTAGGATTTTGAGTTGGTCTATTCTAAGTGTTAGGGTGCTACATAAAACTCAGGTCAATATCCAAGCTTCCCCATTATTAGGAATGATTTGATCAAGCTTGTAAAGTCAGATCTAAATGTAATGCCATCCAGAGAAAACCAGAATTTGTTCTTCACACTGACTGAATGCCATATCTAAATATTAAACCTATCTTAATAGACCTGAGACTGGGAGTCCGATTCTGCTCTTCCTTTCATCTGTGCAAATTCGGAAGAATTCCAGGGAAGTAACTTGCCCTACTGAAAAATTGGAGTCTGAGCCAAATCAAGTGACCAAGTCTGTGCTTCTTAGCAGCTAGTTTAACTGAATTTACTCACAGAACCTATTCAAACAAGAGTTTCACTAAAGGGATTTATTCCATTATCCACTTAAAATGCTGACAAGAAATTGACTATCAAGTGACTATGTGCCTTACATAGATTGGTCAAATTTATGTATGCAACCCCCACAATATTATTGATTTTTTTTTATTCTTATTAACTAAGGCTACTGAACAAACCTCTACACCATCACTTTTTTATTGCTGACCCTTTCCATCTTGATATTTAGCTTACTCGCCAGCTCTCATGTTTTCATCTTTCCAGTATAACAGCAGAATAATGTGAAGAATGGCATGTTGTGAACTTTAATTATAATTTAAATGTTATATTGAAAATGTAGTAGGTACTTAGTTACAGATATAGGCAAGCATTTCAATTGTAAGTATTTAAAATGAACATTTGAAATAGAAATGCATATGTGCAAATAAAGAACTAAAAGCACATCTGGTCTGACAAACAATATCAGGAATTACATGCATCTGTTTGCATTCACACGTGTCTATTACATAGGCCGAACTAGGCTTCTGTAAATATGGTCCTAATACACAGTCATATATACACCTTGTTCATAATCTGAAAGCCTAAGCATGGTGCTCTTGTAAATTGCAGCTTTTCTGTTCACCTTAACTGTAACCATCCTTTCTTACATGGGGTTGGGTGGGATGTGTAACACTAGGCAGTATTTTTTTCCTCTTTAGTTTCTTTAGTTAAATTTTAATGACAATAAATGCATTCAAAATAAAGAAATACTTTTAGTGACATTGCTTTGGAGCTACCTTCCTTTAAGCCCCGCAACAACATGAATGAAACAATCTTCACATGTATCCACTGCCTGCCTAGTAGTAGGATCTTTTGGGGAAATTTTGCATATATTGAAATAATTATGGACACAGCAATGTTAGCAGCAGCTCACCAGTTAGGCATAGAGAGCCTGTACTGAAAAGGATCTATAACTATCATGATGATACTATGCAGATTGTGATACCTTACTCATACTGAGCATGTCTACACTAGATGTTTACTGCAGAGCTGCCTAATTAGCTCTGCAGTAAAATGTCACCATCTACATGTGCGGTGCTATTAGGATTGAGTAAACTAACTAACTCTGCCTCAGGACAGTACTTCCAAACACAAGTACTATCCTATGACAGAGTTATTTACTCTGCTGCTACACACGTGTAGATGCTGATGGGGCTGGTTGGGGCATGAGGGTGCCTCAGTGCAGAGGTTGCCTGCTGGCTAGCCCTGCACTGACACACCCTTGCACCCCAG